CCCAGCTACAAAGACTGTTATTAGCTTTTTGTTTTGTTTTATAAACCTTTTCTTTCCTCACACCAGGGACCGGGGCTTGGTGCAGGTTCAGTACAGCGAGGGTGACCCTCCCACTGCTGAGCTTGTGAGCACCACGGCGGCATAGCCACCTCCATCAGACCTGAACTTCACGGTAGGGCCCAGAGCCCTTGGGCAACGGGGGAGACCTGGAGGCCCAGCAGCTCCCCAGTGAGAGTGGGTAGATGCAGATTTCCAGGCTGCGCTTTCCCTGCTCCATGCAGGGTCCCACATCTGGCCACTGTGGCCCAAGGCTAGCGAGAGGGAGTCAGTCCTAAAATGGACCAGCCTTGACCTCGTTCTCTTAGGCACACTTGGGGCTTGAGGACTCCTGAGGTCACCCCATATTTTCTGTCTCGCCATCTAGTATGTGGGACCCTGATCTTCTGACAGGCAGGGTTGGTTTGTTGGTTTGTATTTGAATGGCTTTCTCTAGACTCTCCCTATAAGAGGCCTGGAATAACCAGCCCCTTTTCCTGCCTGTTCTGCTCTAGTGAGGCCAGCCATGATCACCTCCTGTTTCTCTCCAGGCTGACCTTCAGCATCTGTTTTCATTAGGCTTATCACGCAGACTCAAGCCAAGAAGAGAGCCCTCCTCTAGACCACCCTGTAGGTTCCCAGGGCCACAGCCCTGCCTCTCTTGGTGCCTGCAGACAAAGGGAGACTCATCCCTGGCTCCCCTCCTCACCAGCCCTCATCCTCTCCAGGCTCCTCAGTGGGGCAAGGAAGTGTGAGGCAGGAGAGATTATCAGCCAGCTCGGCTCCAAGGGTCTGGTGGCAGAGCTTTAGTCCAGAGGGTAATTTCCGGAGATGGCAAAGCTTGTCTTGATTGAGGAGCATATGGGAGTTTGGCAGGTTATGGCTCCCAGGGCAAAGTCAGCAGTTGCCACCATCTGCTGCAGCAGGGAGAAGAATGTTCCCTGTAGGAGCCCAAGAGGTGGAGGAGAGAGTGGGTAGCTTAAGCCCTGGCACGCTATCCAAGCTGCCACCCTGTTGCCTAGCTGCATGCGTGTGTGGCGGCCTGAAACTGGGAGCCGGGTGGCTCTCCTGCTCTGGCCGCCCACCCCAGGAGCTGTGAGTGGCACATGTGAGCCTGCCTGCGAGCTCCAGGCTAGGGGATTTGGGAAGCTGCTACTTGAAGTCACAGCTGGCATAATGCTGGGGGGAGACCCTGGACCAGCAGACCTCAACCTCTCCACAGAGGAGGAAGAAAGTGTCAGGTGAGGGGAGTCCCTAGGGGCAGAACCAGAAGCCAGGCCCAGGCTTCCTGCCTGGTTCAAAAGGAGGAGATGTGGCAGGGCGAGGCCTGGGAAGGCTGAAAATTGGGCTCCTAGGCCAGAGCTGTTTGGTAGAACTGTCCAGTCAACCTCTGAAAAACATGGGTTTGTACTGCGTAGATCCCCTTATAAGGGACTTTTTATATATAAATACAGTCCAGTACTGTAAATATATTTTCTCTTCCCTGTGATTTTCTTAATGACATCTTTTCTTTAGTTTTCTTCATTGTGGGAATAGAGTATATAACATATCACACACAAGAGGTGTATCAGTCAACCATTTCTGTTACTGGTAAGGCTTCCAGTCAACAGTAGGCTGCTAGTAGTTAAGTTTTGGGGGAGTCCGAAGTTACACGGAGATTCTCAACTGCACAGGGGGTCGGTGCCCCTAACCCCCACGTTGTTCAAGGGTCAACTTAATGTAAGCCACAAATGCAAGCCACATGTGCAATTGGAGGTTTTCTAATTGGAGCCACTTTTTAAGAAAGTAAAAAGCAACAGATGAAACTAATTTTTAAAAACACATTTCAGGGATCCCTGGGTGGCGCAGCGGTTTGGCGCCTGCCTTTGGCCCGGGGCGCGATCCTGGAGACCCGGGATCGAATCCCACGTCGGGCTCCCGGTGCATGGAGCCTGCTTCTCCCTCTGCCTATGCCTCTGCCTCTCTCTCACTGTGTGCCTGTCATAAATAATTTTTTTTTTTAATTTATGATAGTCACACAGAGAGAGAGAGAGGCAGAGACACAGGCAGAGGGAGAAGCAGGCCCCATGCACTGGGAGCCCGATGTGGGATTCGATCCCGGGTCTCCAGGATCGCGCCCCGGGCCAAAGGCAGGCGCCAAACCGCTGCGCCACCCAGGGATCCCGCCTGTCATAAATAAAAATAAAAATAAAAACACATTTCATTTAACATAGTATATCCAAAATATTGTGGCCAAGGTAAAAAAAATTTTTTTTTAAGATTTTTATTTGTTTATTCATGAGAGACACAGGCAGAGGGAGAAGCAGACTCCATGCAGGGAGCTTGATGTGGGACTTGATCCTGGGACCCTAGGATCACGCCCTGGGCCAAAGGGAGGTGCTCAACCACTGAGCTACCCAGGCGTCCCCCCAACCTTTTGTTTTTAAGAAAAGGTAAAAAATTATTGAGATATTTTACACCTTTTTTTCATACAGAGTCTTTGAAATCCAGTGGCTGAATTCCTGTGGCTGCCATGTGGGACAGTGCTGGTCTCCACGGAGGCTGTGTCCCGTCCTGGCCTTCTAAATGACACTTATCTTTCTCACATATTTAAAACCCTGCATCTTTCTTTCTTTGTCCCAGTCCTTTCTCTTGTGCTTTGGTCTTGGGGGTCAGAGTCACTGCCATCTGATGAGGAGCATCCCAGAGAGCAGGCTGTTCCTCCGGCTGCATGTCAGCCCCTATCTGGGGAGCCGGGGGCTGATTTGATTTGGCATTAGACAGTCACGCCAGGAATTCAGCTCTTGTTTTTCTTGCAGTGAATCAGTTACCCTTAATCTCTGGGGCGTGTGCAGGCCTCCTGTGGTGCTCATTTATTTCCAGGAGAGCTGCTGCAGACGGGAGACAAAGCTCAACCTTTCCAATCAGCCTGGCTGCCTTTTGCCTTCTGTCATCTGGAGCCAGGTCTGCATCCCTCTCCCCTGTCCAGCTTGGCTGGGTGTGGGGGGGCTCCCCTGGCCCTTGAGCCCTCTACCTCTGATGACCACCACCTCCCAGGAAGGGGCCCAGAGTTCCCAGGGAGGCAGGACAGTGGGCTGATGGCCATAACCTCTACCTCCGTCTTGGCTCTCCTGGGTTTTGCCACCACTTGTCCAATCTCAAAGATAAGAAAGTGAGCTCTGGTTTGAAATTAGAGGCTGGCGTTCAGGCCTGGCCCCCAGGACCAGTCATTTAAACAATGGCCTATTTCTGAGGACAGTTGATTGCAGGCCTGCTAGTAGTGGTTCAAAGAAAATTGTCACCCAGCAATAATGAGAGGGGCCGGGGCCAGGGCCACGTAGCCTCTGGGCCTGGCCTTCCATCTCTGGCTCCATCCAGCTCACAATCAACAGTCCACCTGGGGCACAGCTTTGGAGACCCTCTGCTTCCCTGTTGTTATTCTGTCAAGGCCCCCCTTGTGCCCTCCCCATCCCTGCTGCCCCTCCCAGCCTCTCCCCAGCCAGGACAGGTGACTCCTGTGTTCCCTCTCCAGGACAGGTTTGGTGGCTTGTCCATGAGACACAGGAAAAGGGAGTTAAACCTCTTCTGTCCCACTAGTGCACATGACCAGTCTCTGTTCTCCCCCTGCCCTCTCTAGTGAGAGGGACCCCTATGTCTTCTCTAGGTGTTTTTTACCCTCAGCTGGACCTGCCAGGATGTCCCCGTGCGCCAAACCCAGCACAACTGCATCCCTCCCCTTTGCTACTCCAGCCCGTCCTCCGCCAATGCTGCAGTGTTTCCAGGGAGTGGCTCTGGAACTGTAGAAGGATTCTTCGAGGTAGGCCAGTGAAATGAGGGCCTGGAAATAGAGGGGGTGCCGCAGGAGGAAGACAGCCACCAAGATGGCCTCCCTGGAAGAGGCCAATAAAGTGGCACCACTATCCACCCTCCATCTGACTTAAGCCATCAGGGGCCCCTTCTAGGAGACTGAGTGAAGAGACACAAGCAGGAAAACCCAAGTACAGTGGGTTCCCAGAGGGCTCAGCCAGACCCTAGGCTCAGCTACGCTGAGGCTAATGCTGGGGATTATTGGACAAGGGGTCCAGGGGGTTTCCCAGACCCTCTGGAGCTGATCTGAGACTCTTTGGAAGATCCCAGACATGCATGTCCTACTGCATCTGGCCCCAGAGCCACAGACAGATAGGATGACACTGAGCCAGCCAGGAAGATCGGGCAGCGGGACTGTGGGGTTGTCCTCTGGGGAGCTGACTGGGTGATGCCCACTTTTAAAATGTGCCTTGTGCCAGTTGTCTGGGGTGACTGCCCCCTGGCTGCCCCATAGTGGTGGTAGAGAGCACAGAGCACAGTCCAGATGCCCCGGGCTGACGGGGAGCCACCCCACCTCTTCTGGTGGGGCAAGAGCTATGGGTGGGGGCAGGCCTGATAACTGGGCGCCTGTGTGGCCTGGAGGTGTTTATTAACACCTAGCCTGAGCTCTGGGGCTGGGCCTCTGTCCCTGAGCATGTGCAAGCATCTGTCTTTCTGTAGCCCTGTCCCTCCTGGGCCTGGCTATTTCCCCGTCTGGGTGTGTGGGTGTAACAAGTCCAAACCTTCTCTGGGAGCCGAGCAGGCTCAGGTGCCCCGCCCTCTGGGCTGTGCCCTTTCTTCCCAAACTGGTTGTGCAGGAGCAGCTGAGTGTGGGCAGTGTGGGTGCATGCGTGGCAGCCCCGGCCCGCGCTCACTCGCTCGCTGCCTCACCTGCAGGGAGGGGCCTCCCAGAAACTGCCTTCCCAGCGCCTGGCCACCCCACCTCACCAGAGCCCAGCCAAGCAGCCAGCAAGGACACACGCCTGCTTCCCGCCACCTGCCTGCACCAGCAGAGCCCAGCCTGAGCCGGCACCTGCCTTTACAACCATGTTCAAGGGTCTGAGCAAAGGCTCCCAGGGGAAGGGGTCCCCTAAGGGCTCCTCAGCCAAGGGCTCCCCCAGCAAGCACAGCCGGTGAGCAGGGCCTGGGGCAGTGGGCTGGGGCAGGTAGGGCAAGGCAGGGCCAGGCCCAGGTGCTTAGCCCCCTGGAGATGGCAGCCCAGAGTACAGGACCAGCCTGGTGCTGGCATTTAGTGTCGCGAGGCCAAAGGGTTGGTGGGGGTTGGGGGGATGGCGTTGGACTCTCTTCCATGCCCAGATGGAGTTCTAGCCCTGGCAGGAGGCCATGGCTGGCCTGGGGCTCCCACACTGTCCAGGGGGCCTGAGGGCCATGGGTAGGGGTGCTCTGCAGGAGACACACTGGGTAAGGACAGGCCAGGGGCTGGGAGACTGGAGAGCCTGGCTCCCTGCCTGTGGCTCTGCCCTCAAGGCTCTGCTTGGGCTGGGCTGACCCTTGGAACCCGGGGTGGGCAGAAGGACTGTGGCCAAGAGGCGGAGGTGGGGTGCCTGCTGCAGGGAGGCGGTGCTATACCAAGTCCAAGCTGCAGATTTCCTCACAAGGCTCTCCCCTCGGGCCTTGAGTTTCGTTACAATGTTGGAGTGCCTCTTTTACCAGGTGGGTATGGGGAGAGGGTGCTGCGGGGAACGGGGAGGGCCTGCAGGCCAGGACATCCTCAGAGCCTCCCTCTGCACCCCCAGCTCCCTGCCGGACCCAGCCTGGCTCTCCACCCTGTGGTCCACAGACTTGGCTGCTTTCCTCTTGTTCTTTCCTGTCACTGGGCCTCTGCTGGGTGGAGGTGGCAGATGGGAGCGGAGATGAAACGCTCATTACTCCGATAGGGATCGGATCGGGGCGATGACAGGGAGGCTGGGCTTCTGGGCAGACAGGAAAGACAGCAGTTAAGACTCTCACTGGAGTGACCTGTCCTCCCTGGTGCTCCTGGGCCCTGCCCAAGGTGGAGTGTGCTCCTCCCTGTGGGAGCAGCCATCCCAGGAGGACGGGCCTGAGGACAGGTCGCCCAGGGGTCAGGACCCACAGCTCCTTGTCCCCAGGCTGGCTCCTGGACAATGCTTTCCTAGCCTCGGGCAGCTGGCGTCTCTGTCCACAAGGCCTGGTCGATTCTGGCTGCAGCCCCCAAACACCATTCTCGTTGTGTGCAATCCATTCGTTTAACTTACATTTAACCTACTGTGTGCCAGGACTGTGCTAGGCACTGAGGATGCCACCTTACACAGAACAAACAGGTCCTTGCCTTTGTGGTACTTACATTCTAGCAGAATAAACATTTCTGGGGTGCCAACTCCGCATAGGCTGTGCCCTGGATGCTTTAGATGGATTCATTCTCTTAATCCATGCAGGTGGCACTGTGATATAGAGATTATTAAGGCCCCACTTTGCAAGTGAGAAACTCTGGGCACAGAGAGTTTAAGTAACTTGTCCAAGGCCACACAGCAGTAGGGCTAGAAAACGATCAGACCCAGGCTGTTTGGCCACAGAGTTCCTTCAGCCTGGTCTTTACTGGCATTGCCCCTCTGCCTGGACGGAGTGTGAAGGTGGAGGTGGCTCATCCTTTGACCCCTAGTTCAGGGCCCAGCTCAGTGAAGTCTTCCCCTTCCCCTTCTCCAGGACTGTAACTTCATAGGGTGTTGTGCTTCTGAGCCTTGGACCACTCCACCTTTTATTAGGTCTACTTGGTCCCCTAGGCCCCAGAGAGCAATGCCCCATGGAGAGGACCCTGGGGAGCCAAATCAGGTTCATACTCTGTTCCTTACCACTTGATCTGGAGCAAGTCAGGTCCTAATCTGGGCATAATCTCCAAATCTGGGGGCTGTTGGGGTGCCCCAACAAGCTCTTGGCTTCCTCCTGCCCTGGTGCCATGCAGCTCCTCCAAATGATTGTTAGCCCGGGCACAGGCAAAGCCCAGGGTGGTCGGGGGGAGACAGGGCTGGGATGGGAAGAGGTTGGGGAGGGGGACATGATCCTGCTCCCCTGCCCCCAGGCAGCCCAACTGCCCCTCCCCAAAGCCCAGCCATGCTGTCTCGGGTATTAGCAGCTGAGCCGTGATTCACTCCTAAGGAAGTGGCAAGGAGCTGGGTGGGGTTGGGAACGCACTGCCAGGACAGTGATGTTGGCCTGCTCCATGGTGCCAGACACACCAGAGGCCCCCACTTTCTGAACCCTCACCTGAGAACAGCGCTCTTCCACCTTTAGAGCTGGGTTTCTCACAGAGTCTCCTGCAGGGAGAGACCAGAGCTCCCCAGGTCCTAGACGCCTCCCTCCTGGGCAACGAGCCTAGCTGGAGGGTAGGACAGGGCAGAGGGAGACAAGGGATCCCACTCAGGTGGGGCAGAGGGGTCTTTTCCAACCATGCTGGCTCTGTCCCTACCCCTGCCCCAGGGCTGCCACCCAGGAGTTGGCCCTGCTCATCTCCCGCATGCAGGCCAATGCTGACCAGGTAGAGAGGGACATTCTGGAGACCCAGAAGAGACTGCAGCAGGTAAGGCCTCAGGGGCAAGCGGCAGGGTGTGAGTGCAGGGGAGGCTCACTAAAGCCCGGAGTACCCACTGGGGATGCTTACGCTGGGACAGACAGCCCTTGTCTTTCACCGGTCATTCCCCAAACACAGTGGGAGAGAGGGCTCAGCTCTCCTTTTCTGCTGGATTCCCAATGAGGGGGGGGGTTAGAGGGGCTCAGGGGGCCTGGGTCTCCCCTGTGTCCCTGCACCCACCCCACAGATGCCCTGGGTCTGGCCCTCTGCTGGCGTGGGCACCAAGGTTGGCAGTGCAGCCTGGGGAACTCAGGGTGAGGCTCAGGGAGCAGTAATGGGCAGCAGGGGTGTCGTCCCCCACCCACAGGACCGGCTGCACAGCGAGCAGAGCCAGGCCCTGCAGCACCGGCAGGAAGTGGGGCGCAGCCTGAAGGAGGCTGAGGTGCTGCTGAAAGACCTCTTCCTGGATGTGGATAAGGCGCGGCGGCTCAAGCACCCACAGGCCGAGGAGATTGAGAAGGAGTAAGTGGGGTGGCGGCCAGGGCATGAGGACTGAGGCTCTGGGGTTCCAGGGGAGCCCCGGGCCCAGCCCTGACCCGCTGGCCTCCTCCTTGGCAGCATCAAGCAGCTGCACGAGCGAGTGACCCAGGAGTGTGCTGAGTACCGCGCCCTGTATGAGAAGATAGTGCTGCCACCCGATGTGGGGCCCAGGGTTGACTGGGCGCGTGTGCTGGAGCAGAAACAGGTCAGCGCCATGCCCAGTGTCGGAGATACCTCCAGGGGCTCAAAATCACACGTAGCACAATCAAGAGAGCAAAACAGAGCAGTGTGTCATCGGGGACCTATCGGTGTGCTTGCACCCGTGGGAAGGTCTGGGAAGAGAGAGCAGAGGAGACAGTGCAGTCAGGGAAGGCTTCCTGCAGGAAGGGGCATATGAAGAGGCCTCAGAGAGGTGGGAGGGCTTAGTGAGACTGGGGTGAAATAGTGAGGAGAGGACATTCCAGAAAGAAACAGAGGCTGCAGCCTGGAGTGTGGTGGAAGGTGGGGTTTTCTGGGCAGGCAGGCAAAGCCAGGTCATGGGCACCCTGAACATCAGGTGAGGAATTGTGCTTTGATGCCATAGCAGAAGGGGTGCCGTGATGACAAGGAAGGGACAGTGGGGAGGCCATGGGCAGAGGGGGTGTCCCAGGATCCCAGAGCCTAGTGAGCAGTTTCTAGGCAGAAGGTGCCGAGGCTGGAGAGGCAAGGAGGTAGGGATGAGTAGGAGGACATCTGACAGGCTGAGCCCTGCGTTCTGGGGACCAGTAGGAGTCAGGGGCTGCAGTCAGGCCTGAGCCTGGGCCCCTGGAGAGTAGCATGTCCCTGAGGGAGGGCTGCCAACCGTTCACCAGGCTGCTCGGCTGCCTCGTGCAGCCTCTGCGCAAGCGGCCAATTCCACTCCTCTGCACGGGGACACGGGGGACAGGGGAGGGCTGCCGTCCCAGCCCTGCGGCTGAGCTGAGTGGCCAGGTCTTCTGCAGAAGCAGGTCTGCGAGGGCCAGTACGGGCCAGGCATGGCAGAGCTGGAGCAGCAGATTGCGGAGCACAACATCCTGCAGAAGGAGATTGAGGCCTACGGGCAGCAGCTCCGGAACCTCATTGGGCCGGTGGGTGCCGTCCATCCCTGCCTGGCCATCCAGCCCTACCCCCACTGTCTTCCATCAGAGCCTGTGTGGGACAAGGGATGGGCGTGGGGGGCACCGTGGGCCCAGAACGTGGGCTGCCATCTGGCCTGCACCCCGCCTCTCACTGAACCTGCTTTGTGTCCCCCCCACCCCCACCCCATTGGTCGAGGCAGGACGCAGCTACCATCAGGAGCCAATACCGGGACCTCCTGGTGAGCAGGGGCTGGGAGCGGGGAGGCCCAGCTGCCTGTACAATCGGGGGGTGGGCAGCATTGGTGGGCACAGGCTGACGGCATCCCTCGCGACCCCTTCTCCCTCCCACGTGTCGCCGAGCACAGAAGGCAGCCTCGTGGCGCGGCCAGAGCCTGGGCAGCCTGTACACGCACCTGCAGGGCTGCACGCGCCAGCTGAGTGCCCTGGCCCAGCAGCAGCAGGGCATCCTGCAGCAGGACTGGAGCGACCTCCTGGCGGACCCCCAGGGCGTGCGGCGGGAGTATGAGGTGGGTGGGGGACAGCAGGGTTGGAGGGTGTGGGCAGGGGCACCCTCGTCCTGTCCTCCCCTCGCCCATGCTCCCGACTCTCCCCCAGCACTTCAAGCAGCAGGAGCTGCTGAGCCAGGAGCAGAGTGTGAACCAGCTGGAGGATGACGGGGAGCGCATGGTGGAGCTGGGGCATCCGGCTGTGGGGCCCATCCAGGTGCGAGGGACAGACACTGCCCATCGTCTCAGGGACACCTGCTCCCTAGATCAGGGGCGGGGGGAGCCTCCCAGGGAGGCTGCAGAGAGGGAGACGCGGCCCAGGTCAGGGTGGGCCAAGCGGGCAGCGGATGGGTGCAGAGGTCAGGGCGGGCATGGTCCGAGGGCTCCATGCTGCTGTCCGCAGACCCACCAGGAGGCCCTGAAGATGGAATGGCAGAACTTTCTAAACCTCTGCATCTGCCAGGAGAGCCAGCTGCAGCACGTGGAGGCCTACCACCGGGTGAGCCGAGGGCGGAGCCCAGGCAGGGCCCGGGGCGGGGCACAGACACCTGCAGAACAGCGCAGGACGCCTTCACAGGGAGGGAGACAGGCACCTCATAAAAACGGCAGAGCTGTGTCACCGTGACTCGGCCCCAGAGGGAAGATGATGTCACGCAAACCTTTGCAGCAGGGTGGTATCGCTCCCAGGGATGCTTGGTTCTTAAGGGGAAAAAAGCAAAAATGCATAAATCACATAAATCTTCTTATGCGTAAATCACAAACACACGTACCTGAAGGATGTACAGCATATGTGTGGTATCACGATTTCATGGAGATGGAAGAGATGCCCAGAAACTCTCCTTGGAAGGGACAGTAACAAAAAGTGGGCTGAGAAACTGACAAAATATACAACAGGGACTCTTCTTCTTTCGGTAATTTCCCCCCAAGATGTTTCCTATAGTTGGAGAGGGACAAAAGCCAGAGTGTTTTCCATCCTTTTTTAAAAAAAAATATTTTCCCGCGACACCACCCTACCATCATCACACCCATGGACAGGAATTTTGTAACATCACCCAACTGCGGGATGTTTCTTTAGAGCACACTCCCAGCTTCCGCTCCGGGCCTGGGAGAAGCGCAGCCCCGAAGCCCTGGCACCCACCCGCGGGGAGGTTGCAGGAGAGCCCCGCCTCCATCTGGGCAGGAAGGACAGAGGCCAAGGTGTTTTAAAACACTAAGAAACGTTCAGTGAGCCCAAAATGCCCCATTTGCAGAGCATTCCAGTACAAAAAGGCCCCACGGCCTGAGAAGCTGACGGTGCGGGGGCCCGTGGCAATTCGCGTTTAGCTGGCTTGCAGGGTTGGTGGGCAGTGGGTGCCCCCGACTGTGCCCTTAACTACCCACGGCCTCAGTTCCAGGAAGAGGCCGACTCCGTGAGCCAAACCCTGGCGAAGCTGAACTCCAGCCTGGACACCCAGTACAGCCCAGCCCCTGGGGCGCCCCCTGGCGCCCTCACGGAGCTGCTGCAGCAGCTGGAGGTGAGAACACCCCACCCCGCAGGCCACCCGCATCCCACGCCAGGGATTGGGGCTGGCCTGTGTCTGGGCCTCACCCTTCCCTGGGGCTTAGTCCTGCCAAGAGCCAATCCTGGGGGGCAGGAGAAGGGGATCTGCTCCAGCAGGAGGGGGCTGCTCTGTTACCAGAAGCCCTTCCCCACTCTGGACCCATTTCCTCACCTGTAATGTGGCAGGTGAGCCCCTGACCCTCCGGCCCTTCTCTAGAGGCCTGAGTGATGCTGAGCAGTCCCCCAACCCCGACCAGCAGACTCCAGAATCCTGGGCTCCCTGGAGGGGCTTCTTTCACTGTCCTGACTTAGAGACCTTGTCTCTGTGAAGACCGGACCCCTGGCTCTCATGGGGGATGGGGTGGGGCAGGCCTCAAGTGAAGCCTGGGACCCCACAGGCAGAGAAGAAGCACCTGGCTGTCACTGAGAAGACCATTAGGGACCTGCAGCGGCAGAGCCAGCAGGTGGCCCCTCTGCAGCAGCGCAGAAACCCACCCCAGCAGCCCCTGCACGTGGATAGCATCTGCGACTGGGACTCAGGAGAAGTACAGACTCACCCACCCAGCACCACCCCTGCCCCCTCCAGTCCCACCCAACGCCCGCCCTGCCCCCCTCCAAGCCCTGCCCTGCCTCTGGCCCGCCCCTGCCCCTGCCCCATCTCTGTTCCCTGCCCCCCAGGTGCAGCTGCTGCGGGGAGAACGGTATTTGCTGATGGACAACACTGACCAGCACACCTGGGTCGTTCAGGGCCCAGATGGGGAGACCAAACGTGCCCCAGCCGCCTGCTTCTGCATCCCAGCTCCGGACCCTGACGCTGTGGCCAGGGCCTCCAAGTGGGTCTGCCTGGGGATCCTCAGGAGCAGGAGGAAGACAGCGGGCCCTGCCTGGTCTTCTCCTAGACCAGTGACTCTTGGGGTGGGTGGGAAGGTTCGGAGAGAGAGGGGTGACATCCTTCTCTGACCTCCTCCTCGTTCTAGGCTGGCGTCGGAGCTGCAGGCCCTGAAGCAGAAATTGGCCGCAGTTCAGAGCGAGCTGGCGGCCTGTGCTGAGCAGCCCTTACAGACCGGCCAGCAGGGTACTGTGGGCTGGCCAGGAACTCGGGGGGTTGTTGGAACAGAGGGAGTAGATTCCTACTTTGGCCAAGGTGGGGGGTGGTTGCAATGGGTGGGGAGTGACCCCAGAGTAGGGACTTCTGCTTGGGGGTTCCATCCCTTGGGCTGGCAAGCCCTGAGCACTGTCCCTGCCCATCCCCCTCCCTTCCTGTCGGACACAGGATGCTCTGGGCGCGTTTAGGGAAGCACTTGTTTCTCAGGTATGTGAGCAGGTGGGAGGTAGGCCCTGGCCCCTCATGACCCCTGTGCCCCCAGCTCCCACTGGCTCAGCCCCAGAAGACCCACAGGCCCAGAAGCTCCTGACACAGATGACCCAGCTGGATGGAGACCTGAAGCAGATAGAGAGGCAAGTGCTGGCCTGGGCCCGGACCCCGCTGAGCCGCACGACACCCCTGGAAGACCTGGAGGGCCGCATCCAGAGCCATAAGGTGGGTAGGTGAGCGAGGATAAACAGTCCCGCACTGAGGGTGTATGAACTAAGGATAAGGCAAGTGTGGGCAAGTGTGGGAGCAGGCGCAGGGACCCAAGGCAGAGGAAGGGAGCGGACAGTCCAGGGCTCAAGACAAGCTGGTTCTAAACCCTTGGTCCTCCACTGACCAACTGTGTGATCTTGAGAAATCACTTAACCTCTCTGGGCCTTGGTTTCCTCCTCACTGAAAACAGGCACAATAATACTCAGTTCATCTGGATGAAGTATACTAAGGCCAGAGAAGGTTCTAGAGGGGCAGGGCCCAGAGTAAAGACCCTGTACCCCACACTTGGGAGGTGTTCTGGTGAGAGTCCTGAGAGCAGCAAGGAAGCCTGCATGTCTCAGGGGTGATTTCTCCTGGAGGCAGGTGGGGGCACCTCCCTGAAAAGGGGGTAGCATGTAAACATCTCAAAAGCCCAGTAGAGAGCCATCCCTCCCCACACCTGGGGGGTTGCAGTCTGGCTTATGTCCTTCCCAACCGGCTTTAATTCAAGTATATCATTTGGGTTTGGTTTTTAAATTTTTGAGTCATGTCATTACACATTATGGTGCAGCTTGTAATATCCACTCCATCCTGTCCCGTAGTTTTAGAGGTGACATTTCCCAGGTCAGAGGACCAGGCTGGGAGGCTCCAGCCCTGGGTGGGAAGAGTAGGAGGTGTTGCAGGTTGGGTCTCTGATCTGGTGTACTGGGAGTTTCTGAGGGAGTCCCATGGGGACGAGACTGGGAGTTTCTGAGGGAGTCCCATGGGGAGGAGGCAGGAGCAGGAGGCCAGGGTGATACTGCAGCCTCAACAGACACCAGCTCCTCCTGGGGCTCTGCGGCCTACAGAGGGCTGGACCTGTACATAGCCGCCCCCAAATACGTCCTTGAGTCTTGAAGTCACCACATCTCCCATGTCAGGGTAGGGGCCACAAGAAACCCAGTTAGACTGGAAGGTAGGTGGTGGGTGGCACACAGAGTCAGCACCCACGACTTACAGAATGGATGAGTGAATGAGGAGCAGAATCACCCCATGTGGACAGAGCTAGGGTTTTGTTGCCTGACTTGGGGCGACAGGGTAGGGAACTGATGTTCTGTGCAAGGCATGGCTGACACGACGACCCATGGGGTCACATTGCCTCTTCCCGTCGATCATTCTGCGGATGAGCAGACTGGGGCTCAGCGAGGCTCACTGGCCCAAGGTCATCCACGTGGGGACTCTCTTGGGGCCAGGACTGTCCCTGGGTCTGTGGCCTGCATGCAGACTCACCCATCACTCTCTGAGGCCCCGTGGGCAGGAAGGAGACCTCTGACCCTGCCCGTCCCACCCCAGGGCACAGCCCAGCGGCTGCAGGGCCTGGGAGCAGAGAAAGAAACAGCCCAGCAGGAGTGTGAGGCGTTGCTGTCCGCCCGGCCTGGGGGCCCCGCTACCCTGCAGCTGCCTGTGGCCCTCAACAGTGTCAAGAACAAGTACAGCGACGTGCAGATTCTTTGCAACCTTTACGGGGAGAAGTGAGTGCCCTGGGGATGGGGGAAGGGGACCGCTGGGTGGCACGCAGGGGGGTGGCTGACAGAGGGCCTGACCTCAGGCCCCCTTGAGACAGAGCCAGAGCTGCCTTGGGTCTGGAGCGCCAGATCCAGGAAGCGGACAGGGTCATCCGAGGCTTCGAGTCCACTGTGGCGCAGGAGGGCCCCATCCCCGCCAGCCCCGGGGCACTGCAGGAGAGGGTCAACGAGCTGCAGGTGAGGGGGCCCGGCCTCGCCAAGCATTCATGGACGGGTGGGGTCCCATGGGAATGTGTGGAAACACAAGGGTGCATGGCGCTGTGTCCCCTCTTCTCCCAGCGCCTGCGGAGGGAGCTGCTCGAAAAGCAGGCCTGTGTGCTAGGGCTGCACCGCGAGCTGAAGGCCACTGAGCATGCATGCAGCGCCCTGCAGAACAACTTCCAGGAGTTCTGCCAAGACCTGCCTCGCCAGCAGCGCCAGGCCCGGGCCCTTACCGACCGCTACCACGCTGTGGGGGACCAGCTGGACCTGCGGTGAGTGGAGGGGCCATTAGGGCTCGACGCACATCCCCACGGTGCACAGCAGCCACTGTTGCCAAGCTGTGTGGCCTCAGACTGGTGACTTCACCTCCCTGAGGCTGTTTCCTCGACTCTAAAATGGGATGATAATAGTAGCTATCTCCCAGGGTGAGCCTACCTGCATCCCTGGCTGAGACGTCCAGTCTATCCCTGAATGCCCAGCTCTGACACAAGGCCAGAGTTAGCAGATCCTTCTGGTGGGTCACTCAGGCCTTCTGACTTGCCCCAGGGAGGGAGGCTCCCACCAGCCTCCTTCATGCACCCCTCATCTGTTCCCAGAGGGCAGTGCTCACCTCTGCTCTGGGCCCCCTCCTCCTGCAGGGAGAAGATGTTGCAGGATGTTGGCCTCACCTACCAGCAGTTCAAGAATTGCTTGGACAATCTGAGCTTCTGGCTGGAAAACCTGCCCCGCAATGAAGTGCGGCCCAGCGACGGGCCCAGCCAGCTCGCCTACAAGCTGCAGGCGCAGAAGGTGAGGAGCTGAGGCTGCAGGCAACCGGGGGCAGGTCAGGCCCCTCCAGAGTTGGGGCCTCAAGCCACTTCACCCCTCAGGGAGCCTCCGGTAGGCACAGCTGCCTGGGTGCGTGTGGCCCCCTAGTGGCCAGAGTTCTAGGAGACCTCAAAGCTCAGACCTCAGGCCTTCTGGGTCACCACCACCTACTTACTACCCTAAATGCTCTGTCTTGCCCTCAGAAACAGCAAGCCCGTCTCCATCTGTTCCGAGATGGGCAGTGAGCTTTATGCTCCTCGGGGTTCCAACTCCTATCCCATCTTTTTCCTCATATTGACAATGCCCTGCTACGTACTGGCAATGAACCAAAGGCTGCGGGTACAGCCCAGCTCTCAGGCAGCCCAGTCTGGTGGGGGAGGCCATTGCATCGCAGGCCATGATGCTGTTAAGAGCTCTGGTGGAGAGCTGCAGCACTGTGGGAGCCCACGGCAGGACACGTGGGGTCAGGGCAAGTGCTCTGGAAGGCAAAGGTCTGGGACTGCAGGAGGATGACAGTGTCTCAAGAGAGAGTAATGGGGTGACGTCAGTAAGGTGGCTTGGGACAGAGACTCAGTACTGGCTGCAGATCAGAATCATCCAGGAGGCTTTTTTTCTTTTTTCTTTTTTAAAGATTTTATTTATTTATTCATGAAAGACACAGAGAGAGGCAGAGACACAGGCAGAGGGAGAAGCAGGCTCCATGGAGGGATCCTGACGTGGGACTCAATCCCAGGTGTCCAGGATCACGACCTGGGCTGAAGGCAACACTAAACCACTGAGCCACCTGGGCTGCCCAAGGGGGCTTTTAAAATCCCTGTATCAAAAAATATATATATAAAATAAAATAAAATATAATAATAATAATAATAAATAAAATAAAATAAAATCCCTGTATCAGGGATGCCTGGGTGGCTAAGCAGTTGAGCATCTGCCTTCAGCTTATGGTGTGATCTTGGAGACCCGGGATCAAGTCCTACATCGGGCTCCCTGCATGGAGCCTGCTTCTCCCTCTGCCTGTCTCTGCCTCTCTCTCTCTCTTTCTCTCTGTTTCTCATGAATACATAAATAAAATTTAAAAAATAAAATAAAATCCCTGTATCAAACCCCACTCCAGACTGATTAAGTTGGAATCACCCAGGACCAGAACATCAATACTTTCTTTTAAAGTTTCCCAAGTGACTAAAAGGGGCAACCAGGCTTATGAACAATTGGGACAGAGCAGTGGTTCTCAGGAGGTGGTCCCTGGACTGGCAGCATCAGCATCAGGGAGATGCTTGGACTCGCAAATTTTCAGGCCTCAACCCAGAGCTGCTCAGACACTGGGGTGGGGCCTTCAATCTTTGCTTGAACAAGCTCTCTAGGGGGTTGTGATGCGCAGCCCTGCGGGAGAACCCCCCTGCTAGAACAGGAGTCTGAGGAGCACTAAGCAGGAGGAAGGGACTCTCCCAAAGAGAGAAAGGAAGAATTCACAGAGAGAATCAGGCCTGGAAAGGCCGTTTCCCAGGCGACCTCTTGCCCCTGTGGGGTGCCAGCTGCCCTGGAGGCCTTGCAGGAGACACTGGGTGAGTGGTGTTTGCTGACCTCCCCTGACTCTCACTTCCTCCCCGGCAGAGGCTGCAGCAGGAGATCCAGGGCCGAGAGCAGGACAGGGCCATGGCAATCCGCCTCTCCCAGGACCTGCAGGCAGCTCTGCAGGTAAGCACTTTCCTTCCTCTCCCCTCGCTCCTGCCAGCCTCCCGCTTCCCCAACCCAGCTGCCACCACTGACTGAGAGCCTGTTTTCCTCCCCTCCCTGTTCAGGACTATGAGTTGCAGGCAGACACCTACCGTTGCTCCCTAGAGACCACCACTCAGGTAGGGTCAGCCCCCAAGAGACCCCGAGTGGCTCCCCTGCAGGAGAGCATCCAGGAGCAGGTGAGATGGGATCCAATGGGGCTCAGTATCCCTTGGCATCAGCTCTGCAGGCGCTCTGGCTGGGGCTGACCCTGACCTCCCTCTGCCTCCCTTTGGCCTCTCTAGGAGAAGAGCGTGACAAAGGCCTATACTGAGGTTGCGGCTGCACACCAGCAGCAGCTGCACCAGCTGGAGTTTGCCAGAAGGATGCTGGAGAAGGTATGGTGAGAACACTTCCTCCGTTCCCGTGCCAGGAGGCCTGGGCTGCTCGTTGCCCCGGCCAGCTTCCCTTCCTCCTCGCCCTGCAGCCTGTGGCCACAGGACAGGCTCTGCGTCCTGAAGAGGGCAGCTCCCCACCTCCCCCTGTGCTCCCCACAGCAGCTCTTCCAGGCTGGTATCCATCTCAGAGTCAGGCCCTGGAGATTCATTCAGTGCAGTCACAGCTTAGCCACTGGACAGTCTTCTGGTGGGACAGGAGAAAATCCCCACAAAGTCTTCAGCTTCAGGACCAACCACGGTGGGCAAGAGGCCACCTACATCTCCATGCCTGGGGGACCAAGAGACAGAAGCCCTCTATGATTTTTAGTGTCTGGCTAAGGGACTTGCCAGCTTTCTCCTACCCAGAGGAATACCCCAGCCTCCCCTAGGGGATGGAGCATAGGCCCATATCCAGGAGCCTGGATGGGAAGAGAGGGGGAAAGGTTTGGAAAGGAGACCTGTCTTGTTTGCATGTTCTGAACACTGCCTTGCATCCCAACATCATGGGGCTGAGACGTCCTCTTGAAAACCTGCATCCAAGCACCTCAGGACTGCAGCTCCCACTCCTGGGACCTTCCAGAAGTATCAGGAAGCAGGGAGGGATCTTTGATCTTGGGGTGGGGAGGGGTAGAAATGGGGCTCATCCCTTTCCCCCCACTGCCCTTTCAGTATTCTTCCCTTCTCCCTCTCACTCTGCAGAAGGAGCTCAGTGAGGATGTCCAGGTGACCCATGATGCACAGCAGGGGTCTGAGAGCCCAGCCCAAGCAAGGAAGGAGTCAGAGGCCCTAAAGTCCCAGCTGGAGGAGGAGAGGAAGCGGGTGGCCCAGGTGCAGCAACAGCTGGAGGAACAGCGGAACCAGCTGCTGCAGCTGAGAACCCAGCGCCCCTTGGAGAGGCTAGAAGAGAAGGAAGTGGTGGAGTTTTACCGGGACCCCCAGCTGGAGAGCAGCCTGTCCAGGGTGAAGTCCCAGGTAGAGGAGGAAGGCAAGAAGCGGGCCGGCCTGCAGGCGGACCTGGAGGCAGCAGCCCAGAAGGTCGTCCAGCTGGAGAGCAAGAAGAGGGCCATGCAGCCTCACCTGCTGACCAAGGAGGTAACCCAGATTGAGAGGGACCCCGGCCTGGAGAGCCAGGCAGCCCAGCTCAGCAGCGAGATCCTGCAGCTGCGGGGGGAGAATGCCACCGTCTCGGCCCGGCTCGAGGTGCTAAAGAAGGAGCTGCTGGCCCTGGAGCAGAAGGAGCCGAACGTGAAGGAGAGGATCGTGGTGAAAGAAGTGGTCAAGGTGGAGAAGGACCTGGAAATGCTTAAGGCAGCCCAGGCCCTCCGGCTGCAGCTGGAGGAGGACTCTGTGCGGAGGAAGGGGGCGGAAGAGGCTGTGGCCAAGCTGCGGGCACGCATTGAAGAGCTAGAGCGGGCGATCGGTGCTGTGGAGCCCAAGGTGATCGTGAAGGAGGTGAAGAAGGTGGAGCAGGACCTGGGCCTCCTGGAAGAGGCGTCCAGGCTGAGGAACCTCCTGGAGGAGGCCAGGAGCAGGAACGCCACGCTGGCGCGCGAGCTGGAGGACCTGCGGGGCAAGTACAGCGTGGTGGAGAAGCAGAAGCCCAAAGTGGAGCTCCAGGAGCGCGTCCACGAGACCTTCCAGGTGGCTCCGGAGACGCAGCAGGAGATGGCACGGCTCCGGGCCCAGCTGCAGGACACGGCCAGCAAGAGGAGCGGCGTGGAGAAGGAGCTGGAGGGGCTGCTGCCCGAGCTGGCCGCCCTCCGTGCCCAGAAGCCCGCGGTGGAGTACAAGCAGGTGACGCAGGAGGTGGTGAAGCACGAGAGGAGTCCCGAGGTGCTGCGGGAGATCGACCGCCTGAAGGCCCAGCTGAATGAGCTGGTCAACGGCAGCGGGCGGGCCCAGGAGCAGCTCATCCGGCTGCAGGGGGAGCGCGACGAGTGGAAGCGGGAGCGGTCCAAGGTGGAGACCAAGACGGTGAACAAGGAGGTGGTGCGCCACGAGAAGGACCCTGTCCTGGAGAAGGAGGCTGAGCGGCTGCGCCAGGAGGTTCGAGAAGCCACCCAGAGGAGGCGGGCCACCGAGGACCTGGTCTCCGAGCTGCAGAACCGGTACCTGCTGCTGGAGAGGAGGCGGCCCGAGGAGAGGGTGGTGGTGCAGGAGGTGGTGGTCACCCAGAAGGACCCGAAGCTCCGAGAGGACCACGGCCGGCTGAGCCAGAGCCTGGACGAGGAGGCGGGCCGGCGGCGGCAGCTGGAGCGGGAGGTGCAGCAGCTCCGGGCTGGCGTGCAGGAGAAGGAGAGCCTGCTCAGCTTCCAGGAGGACCGGACCAAGAAGCTGGCCGTGGAGAGGGAGCTGCGGCAGCTGACCCTGCGGATCCAGGAGCTCGAGCAGCGGCCTCCCGCGGTGCAAGAGAAGATCATCATGGAGGAGGTGGTCAAGCTGGAGAAAGACCCGGATCTGGAGAAGTCCACAGAAGCCCTGCGGCAGGACCTGGAGCAGGAGAAGACCCGGGTGACAGAGCTGCATCGGGAGTGCAAGAACCTGCAGGTGCAGATCGACGTCCTCCAGACCACGAAATCGCAGGAGAAGACCATCTACAAGGAAGTGATCCGGGTAGAGAAGGACCGGGTGCTGGAGGGCGAGCGGTCCCGGGCGTGGGAGGCGCTCAACCGGGAGCGCGGGGCCCGGCAGAGCCGGGAGGAGGAGGTGCGGCACCTCCGGCAGCGGCTGGACGGGGCCGAGGCGCTGAGGAGGACCCGGGCCCGCGAGGAGGCTGAGCTCCAGAGGTCCCGGGCCCAGGCGGACCAGGAGCACCGGCAGCTGCGGCAGGAGCTGCGGGAGCTGGAGAGGCGGAAGCAGCAGAGGGCGCTGCACCTGCAGGAGGAGGCGAAGCTGCTCAGCCAGAGGACGGACGGCGAGCGGCAGAAGGCGGCCCAGCGGGGCCAGGAGCTCTCGCAGCTCGAGGCGGCCATCCTCCGCGAGAAGGACCAGATCCACGAGAAGGAGAGGACGCTGCGCGACCTCCGCGCCAGGGTGAGCAGGGAGGAGCTCAACCAGGAGACCCAGACGCGAGAGACCAACCTCTCCACCAAGATCTCCATCTTGGAACCCGAGACGGGGAAGGACATGTCCCCGTATGAGGCCTACAAGCAGGGCATCATCGATCGGGGCCAGTACCTCCAGCTCCAGGAGCTCGAGTGTGACTGGGAGGAGGTCACCACCTCGGGCCCCTGCGGCGAGGAGTCCGTGCTCCTGGACCGCAAGAGCGGGAAGCAGTACTCCATCGAGGCGGCCCTGCACTGCCGGCGCATCTCCAAGGAGGAGTACCACCTCTACAAGGACGGCCAGCTGCCCATCTCCGAGTTCGCGCTGCTCGTGGCAGGGGAGACCAAGCCCTGCTCCTCGCTCTCCATTGGCTCCATCATCTCCAAGTCCCCGCTCGCCTCCCCAGCCGCCCAGGGCTCCGGTTTCTTCTCCAGCGGCTCCCTTGGGCTCAGCGATGACAGCTTCCCCATCGCTGGCATCTACGACACGACCACGGACAACAAATGCACCATCAAGACGGCCATGGCCAAGAACATGCTGGACCCCATCACGGGGCAGAAGCTGCTGGAGGCCCAGGCGGCCACAGGGGGCATCGTGGACCTCCTCAGCCGGGAGCGCTACTCCGTGCACAAGGCCATGGAAAGGGGGCTGATCGAGAACACCTCGACGCAGAGGCTGCTCAACGCCCAGAAGGCCTTCACCGGCATCGAGGATCCCGTCACCAGGAAGAGGCTGTCGGTGGGCGAGGCCGTGCAGAAGGGCTGGATGCCGCGGGAGAGCGTGCTCCCACACCTGCAGGTCCAGCACCTGACCGGGGGACTCATCGACCCCAAGAGGACCGGCCGCATCCCTGTCCCTCAGGCCGTGCTCTCCGGAATGATCAGTGAAGAGCTGGCCCAGCTCCTGCAGGATGAGTCCGGCTATGAGAAGGATTTGACAGACCCCATCTCCAGGGAGCGGATGAGCTACAAGGAGGCCATGGGGCGCTGCCGGAGAGACCCCCTGAGCGGCCTGCTGCTGCTCCCAGCCACGCTGGAGGGGTACCACTCCTACCGCTCCGCCTCCCCCAGGGCGCTGCGCTCGCTGCGCTGACACTGACGGGGCCCAGCAGTCCTGGGGAGCGGGGGCAGGGGAGGTTGGGCCACCGGGACCCCTCACCCCAGAGCGGCCTGATCCGAGGGGGCAGGTCTTCCCTCTGAGGCAGAGCTATATTACTCAGAGGTTTCTGGTGTTGGGCCCCTCCCCTAACTTTGGTGCCCAGTCCATCCCCAGACCCAGAGATCGGCACATCTGTTTTTCCTCCCCTCCTCCGCACCCAGTGCTTCCAATAAACAAATTTGCCCAGTGTCTAGTTTGTGTGTGGGAACGTGGAATCCATTTGTCGGAGCCATGAGCGCCAGGGACAGCGTGGCTGGGGTCCTCCCCACCCAGGTGGGATGCGGACATGCCACCCAGCCCTGCCAAGGGAACAGGTGCTCCCAGGGACTTGGGCTCCCTTGACTCTGGGGAGGGTATGTTGGCAGGTCCTGGGAAGGTCACAGACGGCCCCTCCCCACCGCCTCTGTTCTGGGTCTCTCGCTTCGGGCCAGAACTGTCTCCAGCCCTCTGTCAACCTCCCCCTTGTCAGCAAGTCCCTGGTGACCCCCTTTGAGGAAGAAAACACTGGACAGCTCAGGAACGAACGCATCACTTTTATTTCCTGTTCTCAAAGCCAGAGGCAAACGAACATAAGCATATCCTGAGTACAGACAACTACTTAGAACCCGCCACACACCCCGACCTACGCTGGGATCAGGAAAATATCCTCCCTCTCCCTGGCCGCGCTCCCTGTTTAACTCAGACGCTTAACTGGAATGCAGCTTTTCTCCCAAAACATTTTAAAGTCGTAAAGACCAGCAGGGGGCACCCTTCTGCTGGGGGGCGGGGGCTGGCTCTGCCTCGCTGCCAGAGGGCAGGCTTCCCACCCGCCTTGGTAACTATTGTTCCAGCGCCAGGGAGCCAAGACTAACTACCCCCATCTTGAAACGGCCCTGTTGAACCCAACAAACATCACGGGAACGTGCTAACCTGCTGACAAAACTAACACCCAAACTCAGCTCTCTGGAGGCTGATGCCAAATTCCTCAAAGTTTTGCTCTCTCCCAGATTGTTCTCTTTCTGGGGGAAGTGGGAAGGGAGGCAGCCGGAGAGAGGCCCCGAGGCTGAGGGCCTCTCACCTCCTCATCGGCAGAAACGCTCCAGCACACACTGGTGGGGAGCTGGGGAGGTCTCAGCAGATGAGAAGTAGGGGTGCACAAGGGCAGCCTTGGCTGAGATCCGCTGGCTGGGGTCGTACTGCAGGAGTTGCTGTGGAGGAAGGAAGAGGGGGAGGAAAGAGATTGAGCCTTCGGGTGGCCAGGCCCAAAGAGGAGTTACCCTCAGACCCCAGGGGTGAGTCCCAAGCCCCAGAGCAGCTGCCTTCAAACAGGAACTGCATGCACCCACTACTTCCCAGCTCATGAGCCGTTCTGGACGCTGTCAGAACCTGGGGACAAAAAGCTCGTTCTAGGCCGGCCTGGAAGTCATCCTTGTCTCCTGCAGACTAGAGGCTCAGTCCGTCTGGCCTCTTCCTACCTGGGGTTCCCAGCCTCAGCCTACTTCTGATTGAGATAGACTTCTCAGGGGGTGAGACAGGAACTCAGAGTCCCTAAGCCCCGCTGGGCTGTGGAAGGACCCCTTGCCTGGGAGTAGCCAGGATGGGGTGCTAAGAGCCGTGGCTGGAGGTATATGCCATCCTGCTGGCATTGGGCTGGTAGACACACACAGGCCTCTGGAAAAATGAAAATACTGCCCTGCCTTCCTCTGGCCCAACACCAGATTAAAGATGTGGCTCAGAGTCTTTGTGGGTAAGAATGGATGGCTCTGCCTGAGGCCTGGGCAGTCTGGCCTGGGCCAGCCCAACAGGTCAGGATGTGCAACAGGACAGGTGGGCTCAGACCGTGGCAGGGGCCCAGACAGCAGGGAACAGCCTCCTGAGAAGAGCCACTGCTATGGAAGGAGGCAAGCTCCCTGCCTGGGAAAGCTTACAAAGGAAGGCGACTGTCGGGGCCTGGGTGGCTCAGTCAGTTAAGGGTCTGACTTCAGCTCAGGTCATGATCTCAGGGTCATGGGATCGAGCCCCAGGGTGGGCTCCCCACTCAGCAGGGAGTCTGCTTCTCCCTCTCCCTCTGCCTGTGCTCGCTCTCAAAATCTTTTTTTTTAAGATTTTATTTTAAAGATTTTATTTATTTATTCATGAGAGAGACACACATACACACACAGAGAGAGAGAGGCAGAGACACAGGCAGAGCTTTGCAGGGAGCCTGACTCAGGACTCGATCCCGGGTCTCCAGGATCATGCTGATCAGGCGGTGCTAAACCGCTGAGCCACCCGGGGTGCCCTCAAATAAATAAAATCTTAAAGGTAACTATAAGAGCATAAAAACAAAGCTAACTAGAAGAAAATTTTAAAAGGAAACATGAGCCCTGGACTTTTCAGGGCTGATGCCTCCAAGTTGAACCATCAATATGCACAGGGACAGGGACAAGCGAGTTGTGTTCAGGGGTCAGAAAAGAGACCAGCTGGACTCTGGAGGAGCTGGGGTGACACACGGGCTGGCTGACAAAGAGGCACTTCCATGGGGGCAGCAGGCTTTGTCGCCCTGCGCTGCCTCCCACCTGTACCTACCATGAGCAGGTCCTTGCCCTCTGGTTCCAGACTGGGCACAATCTCCTCCAGCCCCTTCCTGGTCCACTTGGGGAAACTGCCCTTATACTCAGGCAGCTGGGTGACCCCTGGCCACGTGGCTTCACTGGGTGTCCCCAGGGTCCGAAAGATTCGAAAGAGCTGGTCAATCTCAGAGTCACCAGGAAACAGGGCTCTGCGGGTCACCTGAAATGAGGAAGAGAAGGTGTGGGGCCCACTCTCTTGTCCTACAGAATCCAAAACCAGTTCAGATGTCTTTCCCAGGGCTGGGTGAAGAATCCTGCCCTTTTCTGAATAAGGCTCGCTTTCTTAGTCCCAGAGCCAGTCCCAAACACCCCAGAAATCCACTTCTCAAGGGAGAATCAGAGTCCCACTCCCCACCACCCGAGCGGGACCCTGCCTGCGGCCTCCCCGTGGCCATGCCCGTCCCTCTCTCTACCATCTCGGCAAAGATGCAACCAATGCTCCAGACGTCCACAGCTGTGGAATAGAACTTGGTGCCCAAGAGGATCTCAGGGGCGCGATACCAGAGCGTCACCACCTGTGGGGGCGAGAAGCCGGTATCCTTCGGGGGGCCCGGTGCTCAGGTGACGTCCCTTCAGCTGTCGCCCCTGCCCCGCCGTCCTGCGGTACCTCGTGGGTGTAGGTGCGCAGGGGCACCCCGAAGGCTCGAGCCAGTCCGAAGTCGGCCAGCTTGATGGCCCCCAGCTCGTTGATGAGTAGGTTCTGGGGCTTCAGGTCTCGGTGGATGACCCGATGAGAGTGGCAGAAGCTCACCCCCTGCAGCAGCTGGAAGAGGTAGCTCTGCCGAGCCGCGGCGACGCTGCCTGAGCGACGGCGGCCGGTGGGCGCGCCCGGGCCCTCCGCACCCCGCCCTCGCTACCTTGACCAGGTGCAGGGGCAGCTCGGAGGCCGGCGCCGAGTCCATGTACTTCTTCAGGTCCTGGCTGAGGAACTCAAACACCAGGTAAAGCTTCTTCTCACTGTGCACCACGTCCAGCAGCCTGACCGGGGACACGGGTCACCACGCGGCCCCAGCTGCCCGGGGCGGCCCGGCCTCCCCACCTCCTTCCCCACCTCACCTGACGATGTTGGGGTGCTTAAGCTCTTTGAGCAGGGAGATCTCCCTGATGGCGGTGCTCGGGACTCCCTCGGTTTCCCTGCGGGGCGGGAGGGCGCAGCCGTGGGGCCGGAGCGAGCAGGGTGCTCCCGCCCGGGGGGCACCTGTGGGTCCCGCTTTCCGGAAGCGTGCCCGGGCCGCCGGCAGTGGGGCGCCGAGCTCCTCAGCACACACCCGCCGAGGGCGCTGGGCAAGCGTGGCCGCGGCGGGGGCAGGCGGGCGGCACCCGTGGGGCCACCCCCGGAACCCGGGCACACTCCCAAGCGGGGGGGGGGGGGGGGGCCGCGGCGACACTCACAAATCCAGCCTGATCTTCTTGAGGGCCACAAGCTGCCCTGTCTCCTTGTTCTTGGCCTTATACACCACCCCATAGGTGCCCTCTCCGATCTTCTCTACCTTCTGGAACACATCCATGGCCGCAGAGCTGCCCAGGAGACAGAGCGCGCCTGGGGCATTGGCCGCCACACCCAGCGCCCGGCTGCCCCCCGGCCCCCACGGACACGCCACCCGCCTCTGCCCCCCTCACCCCAGCCTTCCCCGGGCCCCGGCTACGGGGTGCAGGAGGGCCCAAACTTCCCAGCGAGCCCCTGCCTCTGCCCCGCGGGGCCCAGGCTCTGGGGCTGAAGGCACCCAGGAGGGCGGCCTGAGGGGCCGGAGTCAGCCTGAGGCAGAGGTCAGGGGTCAGGAAGAGTTTCTGGAGCCACGGTCCTGCCCTAGGCCGCATGGCCAGGGTGAGGGGCTGGGCCCCAAATGCTGGGGGCGCTCGGCCTCCTCTGAGGGCAGAACTTTGGTGGGGCGGCCCCCCTGCATCCTGAGCCGGCCCCCCGGGCCCTGGAGGCTCCCAGAGGCTCCCAGCGCCCCTCCGGCAAACCCCAGCCCAGAATTCACCAGAAACCCTGTGCTCCTGGAGCCTCACTGCTGACAGGCTTCCTGCTCGGCGGCTCCCCCTCCTGGCCCCGGCCGGCGCTGCACCACGTGCACACAACACAAGGTCTCCCCCACTGGGGCCTTTATTCATGAGGACCTTCCAGAACCCTCCATATTCCCACACGAGGCTCAGCACCCAGCACCCCACAGCTCAGCCTCCCACGGGCTCCTGGCGAGGGGTGTGTGTGTCTGGAATGATCCAAATTAGCAAACACCCCCTCTTCTCTCTGGCTCCAGAGGGTGTCATTCTGAGGAAGGTCCTGGATCTTCTCTCCTCAGGTGTCTCCAGTGGGCTTGGCCTCAGGAGCCGGTTGGGGGGCGGGGGGGGGGTTGCCAGGAACTGTCATTTGCTACTGGCTGCTGTCCCTCTCTTCCTGGTACCTCCTCTGCTCCCGCACGGCTTGTTCTAACAAGGGTAGGTTCATTCCTTCCACACAAGTCAGCACCCGGGCCTTCACCACGGAGCCTCCGTCTGAAAGACACAAGCACAAGGCACTAGCAGTGACTGAGCCCATGTCAGCCACACACCTTACAGATGCATTCCAGCTGTTTCCCCGGACTTGCTCTCAGGCCTGAACTTTGACAGGATGAGTCTGAAGGCTGGTATGCGAGATACTGGTCACTTTTCTCTACTTGGGCTTCAGAACGGTGGGGCTGGTGCATGTGATCACACCTGTTTGGAACACGGGATGGCCTGGAAGTCCCACTTCTCCACCGAGGAAGGGCCAGGTAGATGCACCCTCTACCTCTGTTCTTTGTCATCTTAATTGACACCTCCTGCCACCTTCTCTGTAGGCCCCGAGTCCCTGGGGTTGAGGAGGGGTCTCAATCACCATCCCATTTTCCCCCCTTGGCATACTGGGCCCCACTGGCATTGGAAATTGGGATCCAGGGGGAAGAGTTTGGCCTTGTAGGGCCAAGTCAACCCACCCTGGATGAGGGGCTGGGAGGTGCTTCTGGCACAAGCTGTGCTGACTTGATGGAAAGATTTGTCAACATGCAGGTGACACCAAGCTGGAAAGACTTCTGGGGTTTGCCCTAACAGGTTTTTTGTTAACTAGGCTCCACATGGGTGGAGAGAACAGCTCACAACCCTGAGATCAAGACCTGAGCTGAGATAGTGAGATGCTCAACTGACTCAGCCACCCAGGCACTCTGGATTTCTTTTCTTTTTTTTTTTTTTTTTTCTTTTCTTTTTTCATCCATGTTCTTTATGCTCTCTGGGCATGTCAACAAACATATTCAATGCTCTAGGACATTATCCTGTGTTCTTTTGATGCGGTTTTAAGTACAGGCTCTTTTGTTAGATAGGTCATGCCTAGTTTTCCCCCTAGTCTCCTGGTCTAGGCCACTTTCTTTCCTTCTTTTTTTTTTTTTTCTTTTTTTAAGTACGCTCTATGACCACACGACCCTGAGATCAAGAGTTGCACACTCTACCAACTGAGCCAGCCAGGCACCCCTAGAACCACTTTCTTGGTTTAACACAGCATGGGGGCAGAATTCAGAGGGTCAGACTGTCTAGATTCCAGCCTCCAACACAGGAAGATGAACTTGTCTGAAACAGGTTACCTGTGTGTCCTCAGGTTCTGTTGGCCCTGGGGCCGGGCTGCAGAGGCTGCATGGCCTCTGGAGCAGTGGGTGTGGGACACTACCCTGATCTAGCCATCAGTGTAGACTATTGGTTCTTTCTGGAGCCCTGTGTCAGGCTCCCCACTTAGAGAGGAGTCTGTTGAGAGTCTCCCTCTCCCTCTGCCCCTCCTGGCCCCCTCTCTAATAAAACAAATCTTTACAAAAAACACAACTTCCTGTATGAAGATGTTCTTAGTTATCTGACTTAATTGCGCAGAACTTTTTTTTTAGATTCATTTTATTTTAAACATTTTATTTATTTATTTATTTGAGAGACAGAGAGAGTGTGCGCATGAGTAGAGAGGAGCAGAGGGAAAGGTAGAGAGAATCTGAAATGGACTCAGCACTGAGCATGGAGCCCGATGTAGGCAGGACTCAATCCCACGACCCCAAGATTATGACCTGAGCCGAAACTAAGAGTCAGTGTCCAACCCACTGCGTCACCCAGGCACCCTGCACAGAACTTTTCTTACTCGATGCCTATCAGCGCTTTCCTCTGTCAGCCTGGGGAAACCCTCCATCTTAGATTTATATTGAGGAACATATTGTTTCTCCCTGTGAATGAAAAACACTATCAAACACAGGAGTGACCTTAAGAAATAGGATAATCACAAGGGACAGACTGGGCAGTCCTGTCAGAGCATCCGCAGGCCCTTGAAACTGGAATGCGAGGAACAGCATTTGAGGAAATGCTGCAGGGAGGGGAGAACAGAGTTTACAGACAAGATGACTAGGAAGTCCTGTAGAAGAATTTCTTGCAAGTTTAACGAACCCAGAACAACTGAAGGACTGAATGACCAGGGTAGTGGGCATGCATTGGGCAGAGGTGTGGGGAGGAAAGAGGGAAGGAGGGCCAGAGCGAGGCAGGGATACAGAGCAGAAGAGAACACTGTTATTGTTATTATCTTAATATAGAAGAGGCTTGAGTGATTTATACTCAGAAAGGGAAGAGGCAGCAGTAACAGGTTAAGGATTCAGTTGGGAGAGCCAAGTCCCTGTGGGATGACAGGCCGTGGGTCACAGCGCAGGGGCTGAGGAAGGGCCCTCCACCCAGACAGAAGAAAAGAAGCCACCGGGGGTGTGGACACAGGTGACTTTAGGAGGAGCTGCTGCTGCGGCCTCCGCTGGACCTGATGAAAGGGGCAGGGAGGTGATGAAGTAGGGGTCTCCCGTGACAGGCAAATGCCAGAAACAGCTGTTTGTGGGTCGTGGGACAGGGCGGATGGGGACACACGGGAGGCCCCAGTGCGACAAGAGACTTTAACATCATGCTAGGAACCCACGGAGCGTGGGAACCTTCTCCAACAGCAGCAGGCAGGCGGGACCTGCAAGGGCGGAGGTTGGGGGTTCATCAGGCATCGGTGATGGAAGGTAAGTGCCAGAAACTTCCTCCGAGAAAGGGGTGGCCATGGCAGTGAGGAGGCCATGACCAGGACAGAAGGTGGGAGAAAAAGGAGGAGCCCAGAGTGCACAGGTCCTGTGGGGGCTGAAGAGCAGAGAGGCACCTAGAGTCACGACTGCAGTCTCAGGTGGCAGAGGTGTGGCCGTGGCCATGGGAGGCAGAAGTGGGGCAGAGGTGCCTAGTGGCAGAACTGGTTGGCCGCAGAGGACAAAGGTGGAATGGCAAAGCCGATCTATCAGCCAGTAGGCTGCTGGGCCTGCCTCTGGGCCCTGGGAGGATGACCAGGCTCCACATGGGGACAGAGGGGAATCGCTGTCCTGGGAAAGAGAACAGGTTTCAGGCACGTCCTGGGGAAGGCCAGCACAGAAAGAGGAGCCCTTCAGGCAGGAACAAAGGTTCCAGGCGACAACCCAACAGGAAGGCCTGTAGGCGCAGGTAATAGGAGTCAGCTGGAGGAAAATCAGGCAGGTGGGATTCACGGGATTTATGGCTAGGGCTCCAGGGCAGCCTCTCGCTGTGGGTGAGGTCATCTGCAGCTGAGAGAATTCTCCCAGGGGCCCTGGAGCAGAATGGAGAGAAGACTGTGTCCCCACCCCTCAGCCCTGGGCAGGAAGCCCTCAGGCTCTGGGATGGTACCCAAAGAACGAGTCAGAGCCAGTGGATTTCTGGTATGGCTGGCATTTCCTCACCTTTGGCCTCCTTGGCTAGTTATGTGCACAAATTTCAGGAAGGTGACTTTACATATATATTTTTTAAATTTTATTTATTTAAGTAATCTTTACACCCAACATGGGGCTCGAACGCACAACCCCGAGATCAAGAGTCACATGCTCTTATGACTAAGCCAGCCAGGCGCCTCAGAAAGGTGACTTTAGTTGGCCTCTTGGCTGTCCTCAGAACTGCTCACCTTGCCACCCAACAGATCTTAGATCTGTGTCTAGTTGATGTTTGTGCCCCTTGGGACTTGGAACCTGACCAGGACAAGATAGACAGAGGAGGTGTGAAGGCAGCCATGCAGGCACCCTGTAGACTAGGGACCACCAGCCACCTCCAGGCTCGGCTCACACTCTGCCCCTCCCTCCTCATCGCTGTCTTTCCTTCCATGTGTCAGTTTCAAATGATGAGCATGTCTTATTTAAAAATTAGAAGTTTACGGAGAAATTTTTTTAAGAAAGAAAAAGCACATAGATTGTGATGAAAATAATAAGAAGCGATCAAGTAGCCAGCACCCAGAGAAAATGCCGCTTGACCTGAGGCTCGATCGTTCAGGTTCAGGTTTGGGGGGTGGGGGCAAGGACAGAGAGTGGTGCTGCGCTGTCTGTGCCTTCCCGGCTGATGGACCTGCCTCTGCAGAGTCTGGCCTGTGGGGCAGGTCCTGGTGCTGCTGGCTGGTCCCTGCTGCGCGGCGTTCCTGCCCTGTTTTCATGGGCTGATAGCCCGATGGGAGCAGCCAGTGATAACGATCTTGCCTGGATTCATTATTTTATCAGGTCTTTTAAGGAGGTGCCTTTCGACATTTCCTGCATTTATGCCCTGGGATTCTTCTCTAAAGAACTTTTCCTCATCAACCATGAGCTGTCCAATCCATTCAGGAAAAGGCTGGGAAAAGAAGGCTTAATGCAACCAGGGGGAAGCAATCAGCCAACTTCAGACCCAAATTCTCTAATAAATGCCAAAAGAGAGAGAGAGAGAGAGAGAGAGAGAGAGAGGACAGAACTCTTACAGAGACCTGGGTTATGGAAGCCAAATGCAGTAAATGGATTTTGGATCCTGATCTGAAGTAACCAATTTTAAAAACTGATGGAGGGGAATGGAATGAACTTGGACATGGGATTAGATTATATCAAAGGACAGCTATGTTGTTGGGTGTGATTGTGGTACTGATAGAAGCATATGAGGTGTTTACGGGTAAATGAAATGATGTCAGATTTGCTCTAAAGGAGGACAGCAAAATAAGTAAATAAAATGCAGGCAACAGCAGACTATGGGTCCCTGCTGAATCTGGGTGATGGGTACGGGGAGGTCCATCCTACTTTTGTGCATCTTTGATTTGAAATATTAAATTTAGGGGCAGCCCAGGTGGCTCAGCAGTTTAGTGCTGCCTTCAGCCCAGGGCATGATCCTGGAGACCCGGGATAGAGTCCCACATCAGGCTCCCTGCATGGTGCCTGCTTCTCCCTCTGCCTGTATCTCTGCCTCTCTATCTCTCCCTCTCTCTCTGTGTCTCTCATGAATAAATAAAATCTTTTAAAAAATATATTAAATTTTAAAAATTATATGTGTTGAACTTTAACAAAGCTTTTCTTAATTTTCTTCCCACAAGTAATTCTAAATGTCCCCTCCAGGTCCTGTTCTCCTCCTGGCCTGCTGTCCCACCTTTGTTTCAACCTCTCTGTATTTGCAGTTGGGTCTTAGCATCCTGAACACTGAGCAGCAGGCTCCCTGGAGCTCCCAAGATTCACTGCAGGGCTGGAGGTACAGAAGAAAGCCTCAGGGGCAGCCCCCGTGGCTCAGCGGTTTAGCGCTGCCTTCAGCTCAGGGCCTGATCCTAGAGACCCGGGATCCAGTCCCGCGTCGGGCTCCCTGCATGGAGCCTGCTTCTTCCTCTGCCTGTGTCTCTGCCTCTCTCTCATTCTCTGTTTCTCTCGTGAATAAATAAAATCTTAAAAAAAAAAAAAAAGAAGAAGAAGAAGAAGAAAGCCTCAGGTGACTTGGGCTGTAGTCAAAATGGAAATCATTTGTGCGGGATCCCTGGGTGGCGCAGCGGTTTAGCGCCTGCCTTTGGCTCAGGGCGCGATCCTGGAGACCCGGGATCGGGTCCCACGTCGGGCTCCCGATGCATGGAGCCTGCTTCTCCCTCTGCCTGTGTCTCTGCCCCTCTCTCTCTCTCATTCTGTGTGACTATCATAAATAAATAAAAAAAAAAAAAAAATTAAAAAAAAAAAAAAAAAAAAAAAAAAAAGAAATCATTTGTGCAAAGGCCCTTTGTACCCATTCCCACCCACCTTCCTCCTGCCTCTCAATATGAGGGTAGTAACTCTGTAAGCAAGTTCAAAGGCTTAAGCCTGAATAAAGATTAACTTTTATTAAATCAAAGACAATTAAAGTAAGCATCATCTAATAACATTTCATCCAGAGTTAAAAACCACCCATGACTTTTAGAAAGGAAGTTGGTGGTATAAAGCAAGAAACATAAATGTTTGTAGCCTTCAATAGAGCAATTCTACTTTTAGGAAACTATCCTGAAGAAATAATCAGAAAATGGACAAAGTGCATGAAGGTATTAATATGTAGCATTTTTAATATATATTAAAATATTAAAAATATTTATTGAGGTAATTATAATTTATATTTTAAATTATATTTAATAATAATATTTATTATATTTATAAATAAATAAATTTATTTATTTTAATTATTTATTAAAAATATTTATTTATTAAAAATATTTATAAATAAATATATTATTTATATATATATATATATATATTTTTTTTTTTTTTTTTTAAGTAGGCTCCAGGGCAGCCCGGGTGGCTCAGCGGTTTAGCATCGCCTTCAGTCCAGAGCGTGATCCTGGAGACCCGAGATCGAGTCCCACGTCAGGCTCCCTGCATAGAGCCTGTTTCTCCCTCTGCCTGTGTCTCTGCCTCTCTCTCTCTCTCTCTCTCTCTCTCTGTGTCTTTCATGAATAAATAAATAAAATCTTAAAAAAAAAAGTAGGCTCCAGTTCAGGGCTTGAACTCATGACCCTGAGATCAAGACCTGATCTGAAATCAAGAGTCAGATGCTTAGCCAACTGAGCCACCCAGCACCCTGATCTATAGTTTTTTTTTAAATGTTTCCACCCCCCCCGGCTATAAAAGTAATACACTTTCATTGTAAAATGCTAATAAAAGTACAAAAATAACTATTATTAACATTTTGGTGAGTAATCTTTCAAATTTAATTTTTTTATATACATAAAAATGTATATCGGGGTGCCTGGTTGGCTCAGTTGATAGAGCATGCAACTCTTAATCTTGGATTTGTAAATTCAAATCACATGTTGGGTATGGAGATTAATTACTTAAAACTAAAATCTTAAAAAAAATGGGGGGATCATACAATACATATTGTTTTGTAAACTGCTTTTTTTCTTAATAAGATATTGTGAACATCGGGGTGCCTGGGTGGCTCAGCTGGTTGAGAGTCTGACTCTTGATTTTGGCTCAGGTCAAGATCTCAGAGCTATGGGATGGAGTCCCGCATTGGGCTCTGTGCTGGGCATGGAACCTGCCTGGGATTCTCTCTCCTTCTGTCCCTCCACCCCCAATTCACACATTCTTTCACTCTCTCTCAAAGAAAGAAAAAAAAAAAGAGGATACTGTGAACATCTTTTCATGTCAACTGATATAAATGTACACCATTTTTAATGGCTGCATAATATTCTACTAACTGAATATACCATAATGTCTTTAACCAGTAAACGTACAGTATATTTTTAAGAACAAAAAAACAGAAACAATATAAACGTGCAATGATTGTGTGAACTGATATACATCTAATCTATAAAATATTATATAGCCATAAACACTGTATCTACAAAATTTTAAAAACATGGGGAAATATTTACAATATAATGTGAAGCCTAAATAGTCAGATACAACATTATTTAGTATGATATCAACTATGTAAAGGAAGATGACATAGGGATGGCCAGAGAGGGAGGCAAAGAATTCATTTGAGTACTTAGGTTGTTGGGTTTTTTTAAATATTTTATTTATTTATCCACAAGAGACACACAGAGAGAGAGAGGCAGAGACACAGGCAGAGAGAGAAGCAGGCTCCATGCAGGGAGCCTGATGTGGGACTCGATCCTGGGTCTCTAGGATAACGCCCTGGACTGAAGGCGGCGCTAAACAGCTGAGCCACCTGGGCTGCCCAGTACCTGGGTTTTAAAGAGCAACCTTCAACTCTTTTTTTTTTTTTCCCAAGATTTTATTCATTTATTTGAGAGAGAGAGAACGAGCAGGAGCAGTGGCACAAGGAGGGGCAGAAACAGACTCCTCACTGAGCAGGGAGCCTGATGCGGGGCTCGATCCCAGGACCCTGAGATCATGCCCTGAGCACCCCCAGGTGCCCTGCAGCCTTCAATTCTTGATGCTAAAGAGGTTCTCCCAGGTTGCTGGGATTCATTCCCTTCCAGATCTCTTCCCCTGACTTTCCGGCCTGTTATTCCAGCCCTATCCTCTTTGCCTTGGTCTCCTTATCTATGGAACAGCAACACTAAGATTCAGTTTAAGACCTGGTGTGCAAATTGAAAAAGACTGAAGTAAACCCTGTAGTACCAGGCCCAGCTTGTGGTTGGCCTTCAGTAATTCATGGTTTCTCTCTCCTCTCACTTCCCTGGAGCAGGTCCACTGAGCCTGATCACATCTGTTTTCCATGAGTCCTTGAACTTTTGAGCTGCTGTGGAAGGGAAGCTAAACCCAGTGAGGGACTCCTGTTGTGTCAGAAGGCAGGCCCAGGACCCAGAGTGGAAAGGACATGTGATTGATTGATTGATTGATTGACTGATAAATAAATAAATAAATAAATCCACAAGTTTACCTTGGTGTTCGAGCTCCCCAAGGACAAGGTACAGGGAGTCCACTTGGGCTTGGAATGGCTCCACTAGCTTGGTGCAGACCAGGATCTGGTGCTCGTCAGATCCATGCTGAGCTCGCAGGGTCATTCGGGATTGGGTCATATCATAGAGGCACAACCTGCAGGTCAGAGAAAGTGTGATCATTTCTGTCCACAAACAGAACAAACTCAAAAAGCTTGAAAGGTTCTGGAAGGGGGGATCCCTGGGTGGCGCAGCGGTTTGGCGCCTGCCTTTGGCCCAGGGCACGATCCTGGAGACCCAGGATCGAATCCCACGTCGGGCTCCCGGTGCATGGAGCCTGCTTCTCCCTCTGCCTGTGTCTCTGCCTCTCTCTCTCTCGCTGTGACTATCATAAATAAATAAGTAAAAAAATTAAAAAAAATAAAAAAATAAAAATAAAAAAATAAAAAAACGTAGGCTAAAAGAAACAAAAACAAAAAACAAAAACAAAACCTGTAGGCTGTTTTCCAAAAGAGCTAGAAACATTGCCACCAGGAGTGCACAGGAGTTCTAGTGGCCCCAAACCCTCCTCAGCACTTGGTTTCTTCACTCTCCTGGGCATATAGGAGGAGCATCTCATTATGGTTTTAATTTGCACTTTCCTGATAATGCTATACTTAATGTTGTGTGAACACACACCCATCCACATATTCATGTACCTACTACTCATGAATGTGTCTAAATTAATCACCAGAGGTTAGCAGTGGCTGTCCAGACAGTGGGATTCCAGTGATTTTTGCTTGCTTTCTTTACACTTCGTGGATTGCCTACATTTTTTTCCAATGAAAACATATTAATATTTTGGCATTTAAAAAATAAGTAGACAAGGGGTCCTGACTACCTGTCAGGGGAGCATGTGACTCTTGATCTTGGGGTCGTGAGTTCAAGCCCCATGTTGGGTGTAGAGATGACTTGATCAAAGAAAACTTTAAAAATTAAACAACAAAAAAACCCTTATAATAATACTATTTTAATTGTTTTTTTTTCTGGCAGGAGGTGGGGTGGGAGGTACTGAAACACCCTCCTACCACATGATGAAGAAACCATTCTCACCTGCCGAATGTTCTCAGCGCGCCCCCATCGGGAACTTGGCCAGCACTGACTTCCCAGGGGAAGTAATAGATCCCAGGTTTGGGCAGCATCCCAAATAGTGGAGAGGGATTTTTGAAGATTCCTGACAAACCAAGCAGAACACAAGACTATGGTTAACAGATACCTGAGACCAGCAACACCTGAAAGGCTAGTTCCAGCGAGTGGTAGTTTAATATTAAAAACATTTTTTGAGGGCTTCGTGGTTGAGCATCTGTGTTTGGTTCAGGACGGGATCCCAGGGTCCTGGGATCAAGTCCCGCAGGGGGCTCCCTGCAGGGAGCCTGCTTCTCCCTCTGCCTATGTCTCTGCCTCTCTCTCTGCATCTCTCATGAATAAAATCTTAAAATATACATATATATATATATATATATATATATATATATATATATATATATATATATATAAGATAAAAGCACCTGAGTGCCACAGTCAGTTGGATATGTGACTCTTGGTTTCAGCTTGGGTCATGATCTCAGGTGATGATATTGAGCCCCATGTCAGGTTTCCTGTTCTACAGAGTCTGTTTGAGACTCTCTCTCCCACTCTGCCCCTTGAGTCCCTCCCCCATGCATTCACACCGCTTCTCTCTCAAATAAGTAAATAAATCTTTGCAAAAAAAATCTACGGGGAGAACTGTTGTCCCACTCCAATCTCTATGCAACCCATTCCCACCCTGATCCCCCGAGGAGGGGTCTATAAAAGGGCAGATGGTCACTCACGATCTCTGTCACAACTATTCAATGCAGCCATTACAGTATGAAGACAGTCGCAGAGAATACAAAGAAACGTGTGAGGCTTGTTCCTTAAACTTTATTTACAAAAACAAGCAATGAGCTGGATCTGACCTGTGTTGAAAGTCTGCCAACCCTGGCCCTTAAAGAAAACCATTTTTATTCATTTTTTATGTAACCAGTGTTTCATTATGCAAATAAAAACAAAGATAAGTAGATATTTATTTCCCCCCATACTATAAATTAAAAAAAATACTTTATGTACTTATTTGAGAGTAAGCACAAGACAGTATAGGGGGAGGAACAGAGGGAGAGAATCTCAAGCGGACTCCACACCCAGCATGGAGCCAGACTCCAGGATCAATCTCACAACCCTGAGATCATGATCTGAGCTGAAATCAAGAGTAGGATGCTTAACTGACTGAGCCACCACACGCAACTCCTTCCTCTATACTATATATGGTGTTCCGTATTTTAATTTTTTTCACTTAATATATTATGGTATTCTTTCATTGTTGTACATAAAGGGAGTCTTCCTTTCTTTTTTAGGAGGCTCCACACCCAGTGTGGAGCCCAGGGCATGAACCCATGACATCGAGATCAAGACCTGAGCTGAAATCAAGAGTCGGACACTCAACTGACTGAGCCATCCAGATGCCCCTGCAAGTTTTTTAAAATATAAATCTAGGGCACCTGGATAGCTAAGTAGATTAAGCATCTGCCTTTGGCTTGGGTCATGGTCCCAGGGTCCTGGGATTGAGCCCTTCATGGGGCTCTCTGCTCAGTAGGGGTCTGTTTCTCCCTCTGCACCTCCCCTGCTTGTGCTCTCTCTCTCCCTCTTTCTCTCTAATAAATAAATAAATGATCTTTAAAAAATAAATTTAAAACTATCCTTTTTTTAAAAAGATTTTATTTATTTATTCATGAGAGACACAGAGAAAGAGGCAGAGACACAATCAGAGGGAGAAGCGGGAGCCCAATGCAGGCTTGATCCTGGAACTCCAAGATCATGCCCTGAGCCGAAAGCAGATGCTCAACTGCTGAGCCACCCAGGCATCTCTAAAACTATCCTAAAATACAGTTTATTTAAAAAAATGTACCCAGGTGGCTCAATCGGTTGGGCATTCAACTCTTGATATCAGCTCAGGTGTTGATTCAGGGTTGTAAGATCAAGCCCCTCATAGGGCTCCCCATTGGGCATGGAGCCTACTTAAGATTCTCTCTCCCTCTGCCTCTCCCCACCTCTAAAAAAAGCAACCAAACCTGTAAAGATGGTATATCATACCCAGTTTTCCCTATAATTAACATCTTATGTTAGTATGACACATTTGTCACAATTAATGAACCTGTATCAATGTGTTATTAACACCACACTTCATTTGGATTCCTTTAGTTTTTTCCTGGATGCTTCTTTTTGGTGCATAGTCTCTTCCAGACTACCACATTATATTCAGTTGTCTCTTTAGATTCCTCCAAGCTGTGACAGTTGCTTAGACTTTCCTTGCTTTTTGGCATTGAGAGGTTTTTTTTTTTTTTTTTTAAGATTTTATTTATTTATTAGAGACACAGAGAATGAGAGAGAGAGAAAGGCAGAAACACAGAGGGAGAAGCAGGCTCCATGCAAGGAGCCCGACGGGGACACGACCCTGGGACTCCAGGATCACACCCTGGGCTGAAGGCGGTACTAAACTGCTAAGGCTGCCCTGGCCTTGAGAGTTTTGAAGTGTACTACTCAGGTATTTTGTAGAATGACCTTCAGTTTCAGTTTGTCTGATGTTTTACTCATGGTTAGAGTAGGGTTGATCTTTTGTTAGAAATTTTAAGAAAACACTGGTTAAATAAGTCACATGATACTGATGCATAGGACACTTGGCAGGCTTTTTAAGATGAGGCATTGTAGGCACTTATATGGCAAGATCTCCAAGATAGACCATCAGCAAAAAAGGTATGGAGCAGCCATGTACATATAATATGTATATCTGTGTAAGTGTGAAAGAACACTCCAGAACATGAGGATCCACATGTAGAAAATGTTAGAGAAGTAGGGATTCTGGAATAGATATCAGTGACAATGGGATGGCCAAGGGTGATAGCTTGAGCCGCTCGATGGGATAAACCAAGACAGAAACACAGAAAATGGTAATTAAATCATCCCAAGTAAGACCCTTGCAGAAGCCAGATGACACAGCTTTAGTGCACAAGTTTAATGTTAGGGGCACCTGGGTGGCTCAGTTGGTTAAGTATCTGACTTTTGATCTCAGCCCAGGTCTTGATCTCAGGGTCGTGAGTTCAAGCCCCACATTGGGCTCTGTGCTGGGCATGGAGCTAACTTAAAAAAAAAAAAAAAAGGCAGCAGCAGCTTAATGTCACCTAGAATCTTGTACACTTGGCTTTAGTATCCTCCAACAAGGTCATTGGGCAGTGTTACTGGTCAAAGGGCATTTCAAGACAGTGGGTACAGAATAGCAGCACAGGGCAATTGGCCAAGGCCCAGTCCTATTGCCCTAAGTGCAGATGGTCGGTATCCCTGCGACCAGGGAGTAAACCTGTTCTTTCTTGTCCCCAGAAATGAGAGAGCCCCCTAATAATTTTTGGCAAGAGAAAGAAGCAAAAAGTTAAAACCAAAAATCCAAAAATCAGCCAAGAAAAGAAAAAAATGTATTGGTTCCAGTATTGGAGAAAGGGGACAATTCTGTTCAATCTAGCAAAAAGGCGAAACCTTAGAATGTTTTTTATTTTATTTTATTTTAAAGATTTATTTATTTATTCAGAGAGAGAGAGAGAGAAAGAGACAGAGACACAACAGAGGGAGAAGCAAGATCCATGCAGGAAGCCTGATGTAGGACTGGATCCCATGTCTCCAGGATCACACCCCAGGCTGCAGGCTAAACCGCTGCACCACCGGGGCTGCCCTAGAATCTTTTTTAAAAAGTAATTTTTCGGGGATCCCTGTGTGGCGCAGCGGTTTGGCGCCTGCCTTTGGCCCAGGGCGCGATCCTGGAGACCCGGGATCGAATCCCACATCAGGCTCCCGGTGCATGGAGCCTGCTTCTCCCTCTGCCTGTGTCTCTGCCTCTCTCTCTCTCTCTCTCTGTGACTATCATAAATAAAAATAAATAAATAAAACTTTAAAAAAAAATAAATAAATAAAAAGTAATTTTTCTAGGGGCACCTCAGTGGCTTAGTCAGTTTAGTGGGTTAAGCGTGTGACTCTTGGCTTCAGGTAGGGTCATGCATGATCTCAGGGCTCTGGGATTGAAACCTGTGTTGGGTTGTGCTCAGTGGCGAGTTTACCTGAGGATTCTATCCCTCTGCTCCTCCCTCCACCCCTCTTTAAAATAAATACATCTTTTCATTATTTTTTAAAAGTGTTTTATTTATTCATTTGAGAGAGAGAGAGAGAGAGAGAGAGAGAGAGAATGCATACATGCATGAGTGGAGGGAGAGGCAGAGACAGAGGGAGAAACAGATTCCTCACTGAGCAGGGAGCCCAATCTGGGGCTCGATCCCAGGACCCAGAGATCATGACCTGAGCTGAAGGCAGATGCTTAACCATCTGATCTTAACCATAAATCTTAAAAACAAAAAGTAATTTTTCTACTCTCAAGTACTACACATACTATAAGTTAAACTATAAGTAACTACACCATTAATTTTATTTTTTGAATTATCATACAGCAGAATTGACTCTTTGGAGGGGTATATGCTTTTGCAAATTTCAAACTCATTGATTTTTTAAAGTTTATTTATTTAAATAATCTCTATACCCAACATGGGGTTCACACTCACAACCTCAAGATCAAGACTAGCATGCTCTTCTGTCTGAACCAGCCAGGTGCCCCATCACTGATTATTTGTTCTTTAAAAAAAAAAAATTTTATTTGAGAGAAAGCGAGTGAGCGCACATGAGTAGGGCGAGGGGCAGAGGCAGACAGAGAGCAAGAGGGAGAAGCAGACTCCCCACTGAGCAAGGAGCCCAACTTGGAGTTCAATCCCAGGACCCTGAGATCATGACCTGAGCTGAAGGCAGACACTTAACTGACTGAGCCACCAGGTGTCTGGATTTTTTATTTTATTAATTTTTAAAAATATTTATTTATTTGGGGGGGGTGAGAGAAGAGAGAGAGAATCATCAAGCCGACAACCCTATGAGTGCAGAGCCCAACACAGGGCTCAATCCCTCGACCCAGGAGATCATGACTTGAGCCAAAACCAAGAGCCAGATGCCTAACCAACTGTGCCATCCAGGCTTCTTTGATTTTTTTTTTTCAATCATAAGTTACTATGTGTTTATTAAAACACTTCTGTTAATTTACAATAAACACAGTTGGTTCCGTAAATTATTATCCAT